GTTTTTGTGCCAACACTTATATTTTGTTAATCCTCATTCTTATTTGTGTATATTCCCTTATCCTATTTCCTTTAATTTTTCCACAAGGTAATGTAAGGGAGAGAAGGAGGATTCTTCTTTAATTCATTGAAACAATGCACGTGTAACTCTTCCTTTTCCCCATTTTGAATCATGCCTAATTCTTCTTGCTATGATAAATGCTTCTTGACTCCCTTAAAACCTAATGCAATTAATTAGAAGCTCTTCATTTCCTGCCTTTTTTCTAGCACTTCATGAGCCAAACTCTTCAAATTACATTAAAGGTAGTGTGGCTATGACCCACTCGCCCTTAAATTATTCCTCTGGAAGTTATTCCTCTCCTATGCATTAAATTTATGTAAAGATGTTATGGAATGGGAATATAATTCTCCCTCTCTATTTTAAATGCCTAGGATAAGTTGCTTTTTATTGTCCCAGGTAAAACGGCACCAATCATGACAAATCATTCTACTCGTATACACCTTTATCATAAAAAATTGCATTGAGTGTAACCTTTACACCTTCTTAGGCATTCTTTTCCCTCATTGATTTCCCTTGACACACCCTATTAATTACCATACTATTCATGAAATTAAGCTCTTAGTGGAGTGTTAGGAATAAATGAAAAGAGAGAGGGAAAGCTGAAGAGTCACGTGACAATGTAGAGTAGAAAGAGAAAGACACGAGTTTTAGTAACTAATTAGGTGACTACCCCTCATAATGACTCTTAATTAGGGAATTAATGTTCAATGAGGAGAGTTAAACCGACAAACATTAGTATTCTTCTAGCCTTACATTTTAATATACGTATAAAAAGGAGATTCATCCCTCCTTGCTCCATTTTATTTTCAAAAAACATCACTTGAGAGAAATACTAAGAGACTGAGTGTTGCACCTCCCTTGTCACTTTGTTCGTCCAAGCTTCCCATTTTTTAGCCATCCACATCATCAAATTCCTAAGCTGCACGTCCATAATCTTGTTTCAATAAAGAGTGTAATACCCTTATTTTTTATTTTTCTTGTTTTTAGAAAAATAGGAAGTTTGTTGCAGGACTTCTCGCTAAGGCGAGATGAAGTTTTTCTAAGCCAAGCATTCTGGGTACTCTCGCTCAAGTGAAATGAGTCTCGCTCAAGCGAAAAAGGATAATATCGCCTCAACTATCCTTTCGTCCAAGCAAGAATATGACTTGCCCAAGCGATAAGTGCCTTACCTAAGCGAGATGGAGTTTACTCAGGCAGACTCGCAGGAAAAAGGGGGAATTCTCTAGACCCATTCTCGCTTAGGTGAGAATATAAAAAAAACTAGCTAAAACCATTGTTTGGTTTTCTCGCCTGGGCGCCTTACTCAAGTGAGAATCCGCTTACTCAAGTGAAGAACACGTGAGTTTGGAGGGGTATTTAAGGAACTTTCGTTCTAGAAACCTTTGTTTAGAATTAAACAACCTCCCCTTTTATTTCTCTCTGTTCTCCCACCTCTTATTCTCAGAGAAAATTCTCCTAAACCTTAAACTTATTCCAGATCTGGGCTTGAATGCCTATTATATTTAATCCCAAGTAAGTTTCTAGAGTTTAACTCTTGCATCTCACTATTGTTTCAATGTTCTCTCTTTTTGCATAATAGTACTTTACTCTGTGATGTTAGGAAAAACTTTAGTCTTTGAGTAGTATATTTGGTTAAAACATTGAGCTTTTATCTAGATATCACGAAGAACTTAGTATCAAAGACTTATTTCTAGGTTAGGGGTGTTAATCCTAAACCTAAGTTCTGTTTGTATGTTTAGCCTGAAAAACTCAAAATACCCTATTTTGAATAATAAATTTGAAGTATTTTCTTGAAAGTATAATGTTAAAATGGATTTTTAGTATGAAAACCCATGGTTGGATTTAAGAATCACCTAAAACAGAATTGTATAATAACAGTTATAAACAAACAATGTTTTAAGAATTTTTCATAGGCAAGTTACTCAGTATATATGTATGTGTGTGTATGTATTGTTGATATTGTCAATTAATATTTTTGAACAAATAATTGTATTAGGTGATGAAAAAGTAGAAAATGTTAAACTTTATTATAGAAGACTTTATTAAGACTGAGAGAGTGTGATATCCAGCAATATACTACTTATGGATTGCGCAATTGATCTGAATCTAGAGGTGTGCGACCTTTGGCACATTGTATTGAATTGTGTGATGATATATTTTTTTTTTCACCAATGTTTCAATTCTGAATTAAATTTGACTCTTATATTTAATTTCTATATATATCATTTGTTTCAAAAGTTAATTAGAGTTTTTTACTCCTTTAATCTTTCTTTATATTGAAATATTCTTTGTTATGTACTTTTAAAATTTTATGATTATAAAGTCTAAATATTTAAAACTACAAGAAGACTTGAAATTTGAAAAAGACAAATGTTAGTGTTTAAAATATTATAAAAATATTCTCCATATTAACATATTATGCATATTTTTTATTAGTATTTCATATTCTAACTATATAATTATTCAAAAATTTTATATTTAAAATAGAAGTTCTAATGCTTTTGACTTTTTTTTTAAGAGCATTCAATCACAAACGCGAAGAACAATGCTTTTTAATAGAAAATTTTAATGATGTTGTTGACTTACAATTTATTCCAAGGTATAAATTAAAATATAGATGTTATATATAAAAAATTAAATCAATACAAATATATTTTTTATTAATATAATTATTTATTATGTTATATTCTTAAAATTATATAAATTTTAATTTAAAAAATTATTTAAATTAGACTCATTAATTATTAATTTTTTTTTATAGAAGTAAGTAACTTATCATATATTAGACAACACACAAATAGATATAGGAATATATCTGAAAGTAATAATTAATTCTCAAATACATTTATAGATCTCCATAAACATGGTTAGAATATATATATATATATATATATATATATATATATATATACACTAATAATTTAATGTATTTATACTAAAATTATATTTTTATATTTTTAAAATAATTACGAACTTAATAAATAATGTATATATATTTTTTTACTTATTTTTATCTTAATTTATGTATTTTTTCCATCTAACATTTTAAATTTATTTATTAAATTTTATTCAAATTAATATTTATTATTTTAATAAGTTGTTTTAAAATATTATTATATTATTAAATTATTTTATAATTAAATTTATTTTTATTTATTTATAATTAAAATTATAAATGATTAAAAAATCATATTAATTATTTTAAAAATTAAAAATAAATACATAACAAAAATTAATAAATTTATTATTTTAATTTTATAACCTATAGAACATAACTTTGCTATACTTAATTAATTATTTCAATAAAATTAATTATTTTATAATGTTAACTAATATTAATTCTATTAAATTATTAAATAATATAAAGTAATTTAATCATTTAAAAAAGACTCAATTCTAGATATATATTTTTTATCAACGAATAAATTTATGAATTAAGAATATATATTATATTATTATTAGCTTTTATTTATACTATTTTTTATAATATCTTTATTTATATAACAAAAATAATTTAATATATTTTTATTTTTAGGTATTAACATATAATTTTATATACATTTATATTAAAATTATATTTTTAAAATTTTATATATTAATTAAATAAATACACCTTTTACTTTTATTTTCAACTTATTTGTTATTTTTTATTTTTATTTAAATTATTATTATTAGTTTGATTTAAAAAATATTATATTTTCTTTTAATAATTATATAGTAAAAAATATATTAGTAATTTTAAATTAGAATTATAAATGAACGATATATTATATAAATTTAGTTCAACAAAAGTATATATAAATACATAAGTTAAAAATTATAGAATATTTTATTTAAATTTTATAATTCATATTGAAAAATTGTTATATTTAATAAATTATTATTATAATTATTTTTTTAAAATTTTATAATGATGGATAGTTTTATGAAATCATGAAATAATATAATTTTTTAGATTTTAAAAATACAATTTTTTATACTATTTAAAATTAATTTCTTAATTTTATCATAGTTTTTTTAGTCTAACAAACATTATACATTAATTTAATTAACTCTAAAGAATATTAAATTATACAGATTTAAAATTAATTTCTTAATTTTATAGTAGTTTTTTTTATATATTTTAATTTACAAAATATAATTTTTTATGTATTTATACAGAAATTATTATTATTAATAAAATTCTGACAGTAATAAAAAAAATATTTTTTATTTTTACTTTACTTAATTAAAATGTTCTTTTTAATCTAACATCTTAAATTTATTTATTTTTATCTATTAATCAATAAATAAAAATAAAAAATATTAAAAATATATATTATATTATTATCAATTTATTATGCATCATAATTTTGTAAATTAATTTATTTATCATAATCATAAAAAAATAATATACCTTTTATGCTGTAAATAAAATATTTGTTAACATCATTATTAATTTTTTTAATTGATTTAGAGAATTTAAAAAAAAAATTATGTGATAATGTTAATATTCTAAGTAGGTTAATATTTATTTATTTAATTTTTAAAATTTATTATAATTATTACTGTATGATATTTATTTATTATACTTTATTTTAAAATAAATAATTATATATATCATAAAAAGTGAATTAAAAATTCCCTTATTTATTTATTTATTAGTATTTTAGTATAATAAATATATTTATTTTTGTACAAAATATTTTTTTTTAATTTGAAAAATAATATTTGCAGTTTAACAAATAACTAATAGTAACAAAATTTTATTAAAAATAAAAATAATAATTATTTTTTTATAATTTTAATGTAATAATATATAATTTTTTTATTATATATATTTAAGCTTTAGTCCAATTTTTTAAAGTGAACCCTTAATAAAACTTAAATAAAAATTAGTCACTTTTTAACAGTCTTATGTGGCATTTTCTCGAGGAAAAACAATTTTCGTGCATGTTAAAATTTCTGGGGTCCCTATATGTCCAAGAAGTGCGATTTCCATATTAGCTCAGCACAGACAAACATTGTCTTTGTGTCTACATTTTAATTTTCCAGTGTGATCAGAACCTGAGAAAGAGAGAGAGGTCCAATGGCGACCAGATACTGGGTAGTGTCTCTTCCCGTCCAAAATTCTGCATCAACACTCTGGAACCAATTGCAGGAGCAAATCTCCAAACACTCTTTCGACACTCCTCTTTACAGAGTAAGCACTCTCTCTCTCTCTCTGTTGTATACATAACCGCAACCTCTTCCTTTTCTTATTTTCTTTCTTCACTCTCCCTCCATTTTCGCAGTTCAACATTCCGAATCTCCGCGTCGGAACCCTGGACTCTCTCCTCTCTCTCAGCGACGATCTCGTCAAGGTGCGTCAAATTCACAATCACACGGAAACAGCCACCGGTTATGCGACGTCGATCGTCCAATTTCGTGTATCTTTATGTTGATTGTAAGAATTTGCTTGATCTGTTTGGGATTTTGTGGTTGCAGTCGAACAGTTTCATGGAGGGAGTGTCGCACAAGATCCGGCGGCAGATTGAGGAGTTGGAGAGGGTTTCGGGCGTGGTGAGCAGTGGTTTGACGGTGGATGGAGTCCCCGTTGATTCTTACTTGACGAGGTTTGTTCAATTGGAATCTGTAATCTGTTTCATGTGTGGGGTCGTGATCTTATTGATTGTTGTGGGATGAAAAAATTAGTTTTTTTGTGGTGGATCCAGATTCGTTTGGGATGAGGCCAAGTACCCGACTATGTCGCCTTTGAAGGAGATCGTGGATAGCATTCATGGTCAAGTGTCAAAGATTGAGGATGATCTCAAGGTTAGTCGTATATATTCCTTCCCCGCTGTATTTGCAGCTATATGTTAGATATAATTTAATTTAGCTTGTTTGATTCTCTAAGGTGCCAAATGCCTAAATTACTTCTTTCCAGTACTATGTATATCCTGTGGTAATTTAGTGGTCATGCTTAGATTGAGGTAACTACTGTTGCTATTGAGGGATGGTAAGGAGCCGTTTGGGTTTAGAATGTTTTCTTTTTTCACTCTGATCTTTGTTTTAAAAAATTTGTACAGGAGACACTAATTTTTTTTTTTTTTTCTGTTTTCATTGTTTATAAGCTTGACAAAAGAGAAGAAAGAAAATTTAGAAATTTGGATGAAGTTAGATGTATTAAGGATGAAGAAGGAAAACTTTTGGTTACAAATTAAGGTATTAAAGACAGGTTGGAGAAATATTTCTATAAATTCTTTAATGATGGACAAGGAGCAAATGAAAATATAACAGCATTAAAAGTGTAAGCGGATGATCTAAATTTAGCATATTACCATAGGATTCGAGTTAGAAAAGTAAAAGAAACTCTTAAGAAGATAAACAATGGTAAAGCGGTTGGTCCCGATAATATCCTTATAGACATTTGGAAAATTTTGGGAAAACAAAGACTTGAGTGACTCCCTTAGCTCTTTAATGAGATCTAAGAATATGTTAGATGAATTGAGGAAGAGCATTTTGGTTCTAATATACAAGAATAAGGGTGATATCCAAAATTGTGCAAACTATAGATGGATTAGACTTACGTGTCATACTATGAAGTTGTGGGAAAATATGATTGAACATAGACTATAGGAAGAAATTGAGATTGCAAGAAATTAATTTAGTTTTATGTTAGAAAGGTGTATCATAAAAACTATATATCTTTTGCGAAGTATGATGAAAGTGTATCAATACAATGAAAATGATTTACATATGGTTTTTATTGACTTGAAAAAACATGTGATCGAGTACTAAGAAAAGTGTTAGAGAAGCCTTTAGAAAAGAAATGGATCCGTGTAACATATATTTGAGCTATACAAGACATGTATGAGGCGGGTAATTACATATGTGAGAAATCTTGAAGGTGTATCTAAAGACTTTCCAATATGGATAGGTTTACATCTAGGCTCCACTTTGAATCTTTACTTATTTAATCTAGTCATAGACATGCTTACAAATGATATACAAAAAAAATTATCCCTAAATGCATGCTTTTTGTGGATGATATAATGTGGGTTGAGGAAATGAAAAAAGTTAATGCTAAACTTGAGTTACGGAGAGAAACTTTAGAATCTAAGAGTTTTTGCTTAAATAGAAGTAGGACAAAGTATACATTGTAAGTTTAGTAAAAAGCAAGATAAAAATAATGCGTTGAAAGTTAAAATTAGAGATGATATTATACTATAAATTTAGTTACTTGGGATTGATTATATAGAATGATGGAGAAATTAATGAAGATGTTATTCATAGAATGCAAACTGAGTGATTAAAGTAGAGAAATGTTGATAAGTTATTTATAATTGTAAAGTACCTATTAAGTTGAAAGAAAAGTCTTATCGTACTTCAATACGATTAACTATCTTATATTATAGTGAATGCTGGGTATTAAAGAAACAACACGAGAAGAAAGTGGGAGTGGTAGAAATGAAAATGTTAAGACGAATGGTTGCACAAAAAAGGATAGGATAAGGAATAACAATATACAAGAAAATATTAGAGTTGCACGTATTTTAGAAGAAATGGGCTTTTTTATCTTTTTAATATTTTTAAAAATTAATTTCTTAAAATAATATTTTTTTAAAGTTTTTGTTTGCCACATCAATACTTGTTTCGTCTACCATACAAATGAAATTAAATTTTTTATTCAGTTTTGTCTTTAGCAGAGGCTAAATCACGCGATTGTGCCACGTGTCCTAAGTTTCGTCTGCTACATGGACGAAACCCAACCAGGCCCTAAGCCACCCTTGCAATTTTATGACCATTTTGGTCACCCCTTACAAATCATAGAAGATAGGACACAAAATGAAAACAAGGTGGCAGTTTTGTGATTAAAAATGAAAACAAAAACGTTTCCAGAAACCAAACAGGTCCTAAGCTGCCCTTGAAAAAGTGATAGAATTTTTCTTCTGGATTCAGCACTCTGGTCATGTAGTTTATGTAGACAAAAATTAACTGACTCTTGCTTTCATGGTAGTCCTAATCATACACTTGCTCATTTTCAACTTAATTTTTTGATAATGGTTATCATGCCGAGTGGGTCTTGTCTGCTCAACATAATTTAATAGAATAATCTAATCCATATTGTATGTGCTTTGTCATTCTTATCATTTAGCATGGAATGTTTGTCTTCATGCTGATGGGGGTCAATACTGTAATTGATAAATAAAAGCCTTGTTTCTGTGTGTGTGTAAGTGTGTTTGCTGGGGGATGCTAAATGCATGACCTTTGAATTGATGCAGAATGGAACAATCTTGACATGACTTATAACTTTTCATCTTGTTGAGGATGTTTTCCGTGAGTTGATCCTCTGCATTTTGATATCTGAGCCATCAACCCGTTTTGGGAGAATTGTCTGCTTATACTGTTTTTGTACTAGTGTCACTGAGTCTAAGCATGGTTTTGTAGACAACTGCTTCTGCACTTACAGTGACAGTTCATGATCATATAAAGCCCTGTTTACTTGACCTTTCTATCTGCTTTTCATTGGAGAGTTGTACTTCTGACCTTGTTCATTTGCTAGTAACAATCTCCTTGAAGCTCTATATGTTATGCATAGACCCATTTTATTTCATGTGACTTATTCTAGATAGAGGATCTTAGGCCATTTTCATAATGTGGTCTCATATGTGATGTTGATTTCTGCTTTATCTCACTCTCGATGGACTATATTAGTTCCAACAATTTATTGTTGATGTGATAGTCTTTAAGCATCGTGTTATCTTAAAATTTTGCCATCAATTTTCAACAGCTGCCAACATTGAAACTTAATGGGGGGACTATCTTTGGGTTGTTATGTAAAATTGAAACTATAGAAAGAGATGGTAAAAATCAAAATTATAGTTAAAACATCACTTTACACAATTTTCGTTTGTATAAATTAATATTTGTTTATCTTGTGTGAGAATATTTCAGTTCAGTTTTCTGTTATCACTTTTATTAATCAATCATTTATGTACTGCTACAGTTATTGTTCTTCCTCTCCTTTCCATAATCCTTACCTACACTCATATTCTTAGTAAGCACCACACACTACATACATATCAGGAGGAAGAGCCTTAACAGAAACATTGTTTCTATGCTGATGAACAAAGTAAAATACAAAATCTCTTCTTTGCACAATGTAAATTGAATTCTCTGTGTTGCCCTTAAAACTGTTTCATGTCAGGTTCGTGTTTCTGAGTATAACAATATCCGCAGTCAGCTTAATGCCATCAACCGCAAGCAAAGTGGAAGGTTTGAATGTTGTTTGTTGATTTATCATGGCTTTTTAATGTAATATTGCATTATATTTCTTAGCTGACATAAATCATCTATTTGCCTGTTTTAGCTTAGCTGTCCGAGATCTTTCTGGATTAGTTAAACCTGAGGATATTATAACTTCAGAACATTTAACCACCCTTCTTGCAATTGTTCCCAAGTACTCACAGAAGGATTGGCTCTCAAGCTATGAAACACTGACCACCTACGTGGTAAGCTCAATTTGCTGACATATTCAAATTTCTGCTGATACCTCCCTATGATTACATAAATGATATTTTGGAATATTTCTCTCGATCAATCTGAAAAATCCCTGGAATCTATATAGTCCAATTTTTTTTTCTATTTCTGGAATTTTTCTTTTCTCTTGATTTATTTTTTTGTTCTGATTAAGATAAGTATTTTAGGTCCCCAGGTCTTCCAAGAAGTTGTATGAGGATAATGAGTATGCACTTTATACTGTAACACTCTTCAGTCGTGTTGCAGACAATTTTAGAACCAGTTCACGAGAAAAGGGGTTCCAAGTAAGTACTTTTCTTAAGTTGCATATGCTCTCTTCAATTTGTTAGGATAGGATTGGTTAAATTCCTATTCTATTTTAGACTTCCATCTTGTAATTGGTTTATGGAAATATGTGGAAATGTAGCCAAGTGTGTAATATCAATTAATGAGTTGGTGAGAGAAATTTAATGAAATCTTATGCCATGCATTCAGATTCGTGATTTTGAATACAGTCCAGAATCACATGAGAGTCGGAAACAGGAGTTGGAGAAATTGATGGGAGATCAGGAAAGTCTGAGGGGTTCTCTGTTGCAATGGTGTTATACTAGTTACGGAGAGGTAATTAATTCACTGTATTTAATTTGCAGTAATATGCTCAGAATATGACAATACAGAATTTACAGGTAGCTGTAAGAAACCATGCCACTGATGAAATCAATTGTGGTCAATTAAGTGACTGTCTGCATCTTGAATTTCTTATATGCTGATGCCTTTTTCTAGATTAGCCACTGCTGTCATTATGGAGTTGCCCTTAGTTTTTCAGTTTAAATTTCTTGTGTTCACATTGAAATTTGTGTTGTTCTCACTGTCATGAAATATTAATAAGCTCTCTTATCACTTGTTCCCTATTATCATAAAAGCTGTGATTCTTCTGCCTTTTTACTTCTTTTTTCCCTGAAGGTTTTCAGCTCCTGGATGCACTTCTGTGCTGTACGTGTTTTCACTGAGAGCATTCTGAGATATGGTTTGCCACCATCTTTCTTGGTAGACATACTCTTCTGCTCACATCAGCTTTCGAGCATCAGTTTTCCCCCATTAAAATATTTATAACTGGGCTTTGTTCTTGTGGTAATTGCAGGCATGTGTTTTAGCTCCATCAGTCAAAGCTGAGAAGAAAGTACGTTCTATTCTTGAAGGATTGAGTGATAGCACAAACAGGCAAGTATCTTACATCTGTTTATGGTGTATGGTTTAAAATAGATATACAAAGTAATTTTACATGCTACCGAGATCAATTTATGCCAAAGCACAGACATGATGAAGGTTAAGATCCTTCTCTCTCTAATGTTATTTCTTTTAGACATGAAGGAAACATGCCATGTTTGAGAAAACGTTTGGATTTTATAATTTGAAAGTTTGTCGCTGGACAGTACTTTATTTGATAGTCTCATGAATCTTCTTCATAAAGTTGGTAGATGCACTACAAACTCAACAGGTTTCTTGTTTTACATTAAAGAAGAGAGAGTACGACCATATTTGGGGATTTATTGATCAATCAATCATCACAATCCTTGGCTAATTTCAACCTATTTTGGATGTTAAGACTTGACACCCTTCTGAACCAGATGAAAAGTTAAACAATAGAAATTTGTTGCTGCTTTGCCTAATCTGCACTTCTATATAACACAAACACAGTACATGCCTTGAGAGAGTCCATGCGATAAATTATATTGCCTCACATCCTAATTTAATTGCCTTCAAAATTTTTAGGCATCCAACCCATTATTATTGAGAAACCCAAAACTTAGAGCTTGTTTGTTTCTGTTTTGGTTTTTAATTTTATAAATTATATATTAAAACAATTTTAAAAAACTGTTTTTAAGAAGAAAATGAAAATAAAACATGTTAATAAACAATTTTTTTTTTTTTTTTACTTTTAAAAAGAAAAAACTATTTTTATAAACAGAAAACAAACAAGCTCTTATTTTTCTCTCACTTTCTATCTTTCTCTTTTACCATTACATCCGCCCTAATGAGTTGATTTTGACATTTTACTTTCTTTTCATGTCATGTTATTTGATAATAAATTTAATTATAAACGTGCAATGTGAGAGCAGTGAAGTAGCATTATGGAAAAACATGGCACTAGTCTTTTTTTCTTCCAATATACTAACCTTAGCCTTACAATTAGGAAATTATGGTTAAGTATATTGTTATTTGAACTTTTTTTTCTCTTTAACAAAGTCATAAAACTGTAAATGTGTGAAGGTATTCAAAACACTCAACGAGTTTTTGTTTTCAATGGCAGTAAAAAATGCCTGTGTCTTGGATTCTTACCATTTTCCATAACTATTCTAATTTCTAATTTATGTCTGCTCAGAAACTCAATCAGGAATTCCTGTAACGTACTGCATAACTTGCATCAATCTAATATTTTGATACATGACAGGCTATGTTGATAGTTCTATTCGTTTTGTATCATATCCACTTTATTCTTAGCATTTCTAAAGTTCTCCTCCATGCTATATATGGCTGATTGTGCCTTTAACATTTTGCCTGCAGTGCATACTGGAAGACCGAGGATGAAGTTGGAGTTGGGGTGGCTGGTCTAGCTGGGGATACTGATGCCCATCCTTATGTCTCTTTCACCATCAATCTTGTTTGAGTGCTCCCAGAAACAAGTCATGTCTCCTTTCAATGTTCGCGAAGGATTCCTTTGGACAGTAATAAAGCTAGAAAGGGATCGAATATATTGTTTGTACATTAGCTTCTTGTTCCATTCTTTTTTATTTGTTATATATTTTATTTATAATTTGGACATCCAAGGTTCCGCATGGGTATGGTAATTTAAGTGCAGTTTTGTGGTACTAGGTTGATATGTAGTTGCTTATATGTTGAGTTGTTTCATTATCATGCTATTTGAGAGGTTTAGAATCGTGGTATTATCCGGTCAGAATATCAACAAAACATTATATGTTGCTTTTGTTATTTCTTTATTTTAAGTTATTTAATTACTTTGATCTGATCACTAAAGAATTGGCATCGAGATTAATCTCTGCTATTGAGATTGTGTAACAGATTAAATATTCAGGGACTAATTAGGAAAAAAATTAGAAATTAATTGTCAAAAACCATTATAACTGTCATATGTTAGCGCAGGTTGTTAGAATGGGAGGAAATAGGTGGTTGATTACAATCTTATATAAGTCCCTTTTGTACACCCATTAAAAGATATGAATACAAGTATGAATTTTAGTTCCTCGTAAACTTGTCAAGTTGAGAGTGAGTGTGAGTTGGAGTTATTACGTTTTAAACTTCAACAATTGGTATCAGCTAGTCTGGAAACGATGGTGACAGTGAAAGAACTTGAAACGCGCATCGACTCGATGGAGAAAACAATGACAGATTCGCAAGATACAACACAGCGGAGTCTTGAAGCATTGCAGAAATCAATGGAAGGATTAATATCATCAGTGGCAGCGCTCCATTACGGCAAGAAATAGACACCGGAAAATGATACTCATAGTGAAACTCCAGAATCTTCTACATCTATTCTTGATAGAGTTCAGCTCCAGTTTCCTTCGTTTAATGGCAATAATTTCAGAGAATGGCAAGCCAAGGCCAAACAATTCTTTGAACTTGAAGGCAAGCCTGAAGATCAAAGAGGGCGTCTATTGTTACTTTCAATGGATGGCAAAGCATTTTCCTGGCAAAGACATTACATTCAAGACCCAAATTTCAGCACAAAACCATGGCGACAAATTTTACAAGATGCTGGAAACAGATTCGACGATGGTACCTTTGATGATCCGGTGGCAGAATTGGCTAGATTAAAGCAAGATGGTGCATTGATTGAATATCTTGAAAATTTTGATAACCTCTTGGCACGTGTGGTTATTTCAAAGGAAATAGCACTTAGCTTCTTTCTTTCGGGATTGAAACCTACGTTAGAAAAATCTGTACGCGTCCATAAACCAGCAACAATTCAAGAGGCAATCCGGTTGGCTCGCTTGCAAGACGGGATTCTCCTAGATATCACCAAGAAACTGGGTATGGAAAGGAACACCAATGCTGATTTCCAGACCAGGTACTCAAGAACTTGGTATAACACAAATCAAAATCAAAGAAGTCAACCTATTACTAGTTTACAACAAAATCTCACATTGACTTCCTCCAATTCAGCACATACCGTGGAATCCAAGGCAGCCAATACAACACCAATTTCCAGAAAAGAGGTTAGTGAAAGAATTGCTCAGGGTCTATGTCGTTTTTGTGGTGATAAATGGGATAGGAATCATAAACAAAGGTGTAAAGTCTAGGGTAGGTTGAATGCCATTTTTGCTGCGCAAGAACAAATTGAGATTGATAATGATGATGCTGCTGATCAAGATGTAGACACTGAAATAATTGAGCATTGCCTGGAGTTAGCAGATAATACCAATGTGCATATTTCCTTAAATGCATTACAAGGAATTGCTGGGGGAAATACACTACAATTAAAGGGAATTATAAAGAAGCAGGAAGTGCCATTCTTGATGGATACAGGGAGCACTCACAACTTCATTAGTGACAGATGGGTGAAGAAATTAGGCCTCAAAACTAGTTTCGTAAGGGACTTTCCGGTGATGGTGGCTTCAGATAAGCAACTAGTCATCACTAAGCGCTGTTCTCAGGTTTCATGGAGGTTCAATGATCACCACTTTGCAGCAGATTTCCTGGTATTACCTAGTAGCAGTTTTGGAATTATATTGGGCATGCAATGGTTTCAGACATTGGGTGAAATTTGTTGGAACTGTGCTCAATTGACAATGAAATTTCAGCATCAAGGACAACTAGTATGTTTAAATGGTGAACACAACTAGTAGCAATTTCTACAACTTCAGGGACATTGAAAACAATCCAGGGCCAGACAATGTTACTGGCTATACAAGGGTCTGCATTCTTTAATCTACCTACACCTGAGAATGAAGCACTATTATCTCAAAGTCAGAATGAGGAACTTCAAAAACTAATGGAACAGTATCACCACCTTTTCAAGGAGCCAACTGAGCTTCCTCCTAAGAGACGATATGACCACAAAATAATCCTCACGAGTAATTCACCTATTTGTTTGAAGCCTTACAGGTACCCACACAATCAAAAGGAGGAGATCGAGAGACAAGTTAAGGGATTACTCTCCACAGGATTCATTAGGGACAGTGCAAGCAACTATGCATCTCCTTTGGTTTTAGTGAAGAAGAAGGATGGCTCTTGGAGGTGCTGTACGGACTTTAGAAAGCTAAATGCCATCACTGTCAAAAACAAGTTTCCTATGCCTTTAATAGAGGATCTCTTGGATGAGCTACATGGTGCAAGCTATTTCACCAAACTTGACTTGAGGAGTGGATATAATCAAGTCAGAATGGCTGAGGAGGACATTTCTAAAACAACATTTAGAACTCATAGTGGACACTATGAGTGGGTGGTGTTACCTTTTGGCATAAGCAATGCTCCAGCTACTTTTCAGAACTTGATGAATGACATATTCAGAGAATACTTGAGAAAATTCATCCTAGTTTTCTTTGATGACATTCTAGTTTACACAAAGACTTGGGAGGACCATATACAATGTTTAGAGATCACGTTGGAGATTTTACAGCACATTTGCCTAGCATTGAATTTTAAAAAATGCAGTTTTGGAAAAAGGAAGATTGATTATTTAGGCCATCTTATTTCCTCCAAAGGAGTGGAACCTGATCTTCAGAAAATTACGGCTGTACAGCAATGGACCAGACCTACATCTTTAAAGGAATTACGAGGGTTTCTTGGCCTGTCCGGCTACTATAGAAGATTTATCTATAATTATGGAAAAATAGCTGCACCATTAACAAACTTTCTACAAAAAGACACTAAGTTCAAATGGAATGAGGAAGCTGAGGAATCATTCAACAAGCTCAAACAAGCCTTAACTACAGCACCTGTGTTATCCTTACTCGATTTCAGTCAACCTTTCACATTGGAGACTGATGCCTCCGGTATAGGTATAGGGGCAGTCTTGTTACAAAAAGGACACCCTATAGCTTATATAAGTAAAGCCATGGGACCAAAATATCACAACTTGTCAGCCTACGAAAAGGAGTTCTATGCCATTCTGTTTGCAGTAAAGAAATGGCAGCATTATTTTTTAGACCAACATTTCATCATCAAAACTGACCAGAAAGCTCTCAAACACCTGTTGGAACAGCCACCGACAACTTTGATGCAGAATTGGGGATTGGAAAAACTTATGGGCTTAGACTTCAGCATTGAATATAAAAAAGGCAAAGAAAATATTGTAGCTGATGTCTTGTCAAGGAATAGAAGTGAAGCCTGTTTAGCAGTAATTCTGGTCATACAATCTCAATTACTGCAAGAGGTGAAAGAGTCATGGCAGGTCGACCATAAGATACAGAAGATTATTGACAGAATTAGATTAACTCAACAACCTTACAAACATTACACATATGATGGAGACTTCTTCAGACGGAAAGAAAAATTGGTAGTTGGCAATGCACCTGAGTTACGGAAGAAAATTCTGCAACATTTTCACAATTCACCAGTCGGAGGTCATTTAGGAAGTGAAATTACTTACAGAAGAATTAAAGAACAATTCCATTGGAAAGGGTTACAGAAAGAGGTCAAGATGTGGGTTCAACAATGCATGACTTGCCAACAAAACAAACCCATGCAGCAGCTGCCAACAGGTCTACTACAACCACTCCCTATACCTGATCAAGCATGGAAATCCATCTCAATGGATTTCATCGTTGGCCTACCAAAATCCAATGGTATGACTGTCATCCTTGTGGTCATTGATAGATTAACCAAATATGCTCATTTCATGTCTCTATCTCATCCATTTGGAGCTGCCAAGGTAGCTGAGATCTTTATGGATAATGTGGTGAAATTACATGGATGGCCAAATGAGATAATTTCTGATCGGGATACTATATTTATGAGTAAATTCTGGAATGAGCTCATGAAATTACATGGAGTGAAGCTTTTAAAATCAACAGCTTTCCATCCCCAAACAGATGGACAAACTGAGGCTTTGAATAAATCTTTGGAAGCATATTTAAGGTGTGTGACAGGAGACATGCCTCAGAAATGGGTGACCTTCTTGTCCTTGGCTGAACTTTGGTATAATACCAAGTTCCATTCAGCAACTAGGATGACACCATTTGAAGCTTTATACGGTTATCCTCCTGCTAGTCCAAATGTGGTGATCAAGGACGACTCCATGGTGGAAGCTGTGAATTATACGATAAAAACAAGAGAACAGATCAGACAGTTGCTGCACATCAATTTATGGAAGGCACAGGACAGAATGAAGAAATTTGCAGATCAGAAACGAATTGACAAGGAATTCCAGAAGGGAGATTTGGTATACTTAAAGATCCAACCCTTTAGACAACACACATTGGCCAACACTCCTTTCCACAAACTTGCTGCACGTTACTATGGCCCATTTCAGATTCTAGAAAGAATTGGGAAAGTAGCTTACAAATTGGAACTACCACAAGGAACAAAGATTCATGATGTTTTCCATGTGTCTTTATTAAAGAAACACCATGGACAACATTTGGTTTCACCTCAGCTGCCAGTATTCAATGCAAATGGCGAGTATCAGGCACAACCGTTGGCAGTCTTGGACAGAAGAATGAAAAAGAAAGGGCATAAAGCGGTTACGGAGGTCTTAAAACAATGGAAGGACACGACTCCAGAGGATGCTGAATGGAGAGAATTATTTAGCATGAAGCGGCAATTTCCAGAGTTCAATTGGCATTATTAGTCATAGGACTTGCGGACAAGTCCTATTTTGAAGGGGGGGACAATTGTAACAGATTAAATATTCAGGGACTAATTAGGAAAAAAATTAGAAATTAATTGTCAAAAACCATTATAACTGTCATATGTTAGCGCAGGTTGTTAGAATGGGAGGAAATAGGTGGTTGATTACAATCTTATATAAGTCCCTTTTGTACACCCATTAAAAGATATGAATACAA